CAATATCACAACTGCACTGACCGAGTCCTCCAGGATGATGTCGCGGCTACGTGGTCGGCCAAGTTATGGTGACTTGGTAGAGAAACCGAGGCAAGTCCGGAAACACAGACTCTAGACTGTGTGCCGGCAGAATCACGCTGTGTGTCTCGAACGCAATCTTCTTATCCACAGGAGGAAGTCGAGGACGATCCGGTAGACGTAACTGCGAGAAGCGTCTAATGTCGACAGCGCGGCTGTTGGCAGGTCGTCTCGGGGGGTGGTGAGCTGATGCGGCCCAAAAACTTTTGAGTGGGATTCAAACCGGAGGCCTTGTTCCCTCTTTATTTTCAGCGCCAGATGCGCGAGGGGAGGCGAGAACGCTGAACAAGAACCAAGGACCGAGGATTGAGGATTGAAAGGACGACGAGATGGAGAAGAGATGGAGGGAGAAATGTGTGTGTGTGGGTATGGAAGAGAAGTCTTTTTCGTGGAGAGTCAAGCTAAGGTGTGAGTGAACTGAATTTCGATTTTCCTAGCGCGGCATTTTGCGAGTCGGGCCAGTGACGGGGCTTGAAGGAGATGCTTCCGACCGACTCATGAGACTCAATCTTCACTGTGAAAAAGCAGCACAGAGGTGACTAGATGACTAGGTGACCTAGGTATTTAATTATTGGAATCACCGCAAACAACCGACAACAAGTGAGGGGCTCTTTTGCTGGTGCTGTTGCTTGCTGGCATTTCGTCCCCCGATTATTCTTACTGCCACCACCTGCTAGTTCTAGTTCACCCAAGTCCCGCCTCTCTGCCAATAGTTGTCGCGCTTCAAGACTGACGGCTTGTTGCGTTTGCCTGCGGTTCCTCCTCACTCTCTGCCCGTTCGGCCCTAATTGGCACTGTAAGACCAATTCGACTTGGCTTGAGGTCCTCCCCGCTGCTGCCACCACCACCACCGCTAACACAGTCACCAATACGACCTCCCGCATCCGAATTGTTGTTTGAGCATGGTCAGGGTCAGAAGAGTCATGAGCTGGTCGTGGGTAGGATAGAGGGGTTCGCTCGTTCACAACACAAGGCACCTCCAATTCCCACAATCCACACCACGCCGAAAAGGAACCTGCATGCCGCTTGCATGCCGCTTTTGGTGTTGAGGGCTCATTGGACGTGTCATGTTTGTGACTCCCGTCTCCGTATAGCCGTGAAGCACGGGTCAGCGGTCCGTAAACGCGTGAATCCGACGTGCCTAATGCCGCCAGGTCCTCTCTGCATAAACAAACAGAATATCTATGTCTACATCTGCAACCGCTCTCAACCCTTCTCTGCTCGCGATTCTCCTCGTCGTCCAGGGCCGAGCTGGCTCAGGCGCTGAAATTGTCTTCCACTACCCTCCAGACCCTCTGTCGGCGGAACGACCTCCTTATGCTTCGGAGTCCACTGATGATGATGACGGAGAAAGTTCCAGCAGTGATTCGGAAGAGTCATCTTCGGAAGAGGACTTTGAGTTGTTTACGAGGCGGTTCGGGAGTGCGGTCACAGCAACACAGAACCAAGAAAACCAATCACAGCACTCGGATGATGAGGACAGCAACTATCTGAGCAAGAGGGGGACACAGGACAATTCACAATGGAAGCCATCGTGGGAGCCGCTCCTTGGCCTCGGAGAAGATGGTCTGGTCAGTTTGCTTGCTCCCGGGCGATCCTGGCATAAACGGAAGTTTGAGCTCAGTATCAACGACCTGACGTTCCTGGGTCGACCAGTCTATGCTCGTGAGGACGGCTTCTGGCGAAAACCAAAGGTGAGGAGGTCAAGGACGGCGGAAGATGAGGTCCCATCCTCGGAGGCTACGATCAGTGACAGCGCCCAGGATGATGAGGGCGCCGGCGACGAAGCCGCAGCGATTGACCACAACAGCAAAAAGGACCACCATACAAAAGAGCGTGCGAAGAGCCAACTGACCATGTTTCATGTCGTGTTCGTCATGGATCCTCCACCACTGGAGCATACAACTCGGGTCAAGGAGATGTACGACCATGTGGTGAAGAAGTTCTCCAAGGTGCTAAAATGGGCTCAGTCACACCATGATTATGTCTGGGAACAGTCTGAGCTGCTGCAATCTATCAGGTCGACGCATTTCCATCAGCAGTCGCCCGCAAAGGTGCTGTATACTGAAATGAAACAACGGTCGCCTCTGGCTGCTGCCCTTGCCAAAGTATTCGACAACATCTCCGCCTCGAAAGTAGCTGCAATCACCCTCAGTCCCAAACTGTCTGTGTCTCTCCAGATTCCTCCTATCACGTCGACTTCTTATCTTCCCTCTCTTTCCGAACCACCACTACAGCCCGGATTATGGCTCACAACAGCCACGGATCCTACCTCTACCGGCTCCGATTTGGACGCAACCTCGTCCACAGGTCCCTTGCAGTTGTCGAAGAACTTCACCCTCCTGCTTAAATCCAGCCCGCAGAAGATTCTCAAAGACATCCAAGCTGCGGGAGGGTCGTTAGCCATGCCATTGACCAACTTCATCGGACACTTGAAGCCGACCAAATCCTTCTACAAGATATCGCTTGCTTCCCAAATAGCTTTAGGCGACATTCAACATCTGGCTCGTCATCTGGTGTATTGGCGGCGGGCCATGGCGATTCCGCCGCTACATCAGCGCGACACATACATTGTCTCCCCAAATGCCAATATGAGCAGACTGATGTCAGCATCTAAGACATACGAGGCAACATTCCCTATGATGCCGTCTTTACCGAAGATGTTGAACGCACTGAGCGGCACTCCTACCCCGTATGGCGCTCTCATCCCCAGCAGAGACCACAAGGAAGAGTACTACCGAGTGCTGGCCTGGCTCATGCGCGACGGCTGGGTAACACAGCTGCGTACATTTGCATTTGTCCGGGTGGACCCGGAGGTGAAGAAAGCTGTACGCGAGAAGGAGCGCGAGGAATCCAAAGGGCCGAAAACTCCCATTCTTGACAGAGACGCCAGTGACCGTGATAGAGACGCGGCGAGGAGTTTTGGTAGTGGCACGCCGAACACGACCGCCAGCGGAGCAATTTCGTCTTTCAAGCAGCGCCCCAGCATGGTCAGCCGCCCATCCAGTGACGGGCGGCAATCGATTTCCACCGACCGGAACAGCGTGCGCGGAGGGCAACAGTTCAAACACAACCCTAAGGCGGCCAGTCTCATAATCTCCCCTCAACGGGCATCGCCCGAAGAGTCGCGGTGGCTCGATTACATTGCATCCACCATCGGCTCGTCTCGCAGTCCGTCTCGGGCGGAACTGTCTCCCTCGCTTGCCTCTTCGTATTCCGAGGCCGAACAAGCAGAGCTGCGGCACTACTGGCCCGTGTTGGTCAAGTATTTCAGCGGGACGGAACCTCTGGAGAGAATTCCTGTGAGAGAAGGACTGAAGAGGAAGTTTGTCTGGGACATGCTGGAGAAGGTGGGACTGGATTTTGAGGGCGGCGTTGAGGATGAAAAGGGCGAGAATAAGAGGGTGCTGGTTACCATTCGACATTGGTAGGAGTGACACATGAATTTGGCGTGTGGTGTTTGCATGTGATGTGGGAATTGAAGCCGAAAGAGGGAAAAGGGACAAAGAGATGACCCAGTCATGGATAGTCAAATGAAAAAGGTGACCGATATACTCTACTGATGAGAATCACTCGATTCTTGGTCTTGTATCGATCGTGTAATGAATATCAGAGACGATGGGACGATGGACCGACTCGATCTCAACTGTAGAACCAGCAGATATCTACATGAGATACGTACTTGCAAAGGAGTGTACTGAAAAAGAATGAAATGGCAGCAACAATAGGGTTGTTTTTGCCCATTAATAGGAAACAGGGTGTTGGACCCGGTTAGAAATGAGTGGATTGAGAGCTCTGCTCTCTATCACAGAGAGAGAGATGCTCTAGGGTCTATATATATTTTCCGTATACAAAAAACGAGTGTAAACGGCACCGAGAGCCGGTAGAGTGCACCGTTCTGGTAACACTCGTTAACTGAGATAAGCGATCTGGTCTCTAAAACGGCCGTTTTACGACCCATCTGGCGTTTTAAGCGAACCCTGTAACGAGCGAGCCTTACTGCGGATCTTGGAGCGATCTGATTGGCCGGTTGGTGCCTGACGAGGCTTCACCAAATGCAGCGAAAGACGAATTGATCGACAGGAACGTCGATCAGCGCTGGAGCGACATCGGAGCGCAGTCTGAGTCCAACATGACGATACACCGTACCCAGTGAACAACTGGCTGAAAAGACCATGCAAAGCAGACCGACTTCGCGGCTAAAGAACTCTCTCATTGAGAAAATCAGACCAAAGGTTGAATCAGTCGCTGGCCTGCTTTCGGAGAGAAGACACGGGCTGAATATTGAGACACATGAATGGGTTCATGATAGGACGGCGAGCGGCTCGGCGTTGCGCATGCCATCGAGGAAAGACAATCCAGGCGCGCAGAGGCATCCCAGCTGTCACTGAACTGCGAGAGGTCGAAGGTGTGAATGTCGGGGTGGCTGAGACATAGATCGGGGCTCTAGGATTATGCGAGCCTGGTCTAGGCAAAGGGCCATTTCCACGGCTAGAAATCTAGCCTCATAGGTGATATCCTAGCAGAGCAATGTCTTCTTAGCCCATGGCTATCAAATAGGCGCCTCCCACTAACGTATTCTCTGCCACTGTCCTGGCGGAAAGACAATATCGGCTCGGCTCGCTCAGCGAGCTTTTGCTGTCGTTCACGATCCCCTGGAACCAGAAAACTTCCAATGCATCACCGATGTCATGATAAGACTCTTGAGCCGTCTGGCAATTAGGGTCAGCCAAGACGGTAAGCCGACAGCAGGGAATCACTCTACTATTGAGACTACCTCAGCGACCCGGAAAAGCCAGCCTTGTTAGAGAACAGCACGACAAATGGCGTCAACAAAGAAAGGGATTGCATCAAATCCGCCTCGAGTGGTATGGAGCTAAACCGCGGCCACACAGAGGGTCAGTGTACGTTGTACGAGTACATCAATCAACCTCTTCCTCGAGACGAGCCTGCTCTTCGCCTTGGTCTACACTTTCATCTTCCTGATTTTGACGTGCGCTGAAATCTTGCAGCGCTTCAATCGCCAACGCCCAATGCAGAGTAGACGCCGTGTTGAGCAGGCGTTTCTCTCGAAACACAACCTTCTCGAAGTAGCCATCGTACCCTGCTCGTTGGAAGTAGCAGATTGATTTTACGATGGCATTGAGCTAGTAGTCCCGGGATGTTCTCGCTTGCAGCTAGTCGAACGGGTATTAGCTGATAGTATCTACCTGGAACGTACTGAGTCTCTTGGCCGCGACATGATGAAGAGACGAAATATGCCGGTGCGCTTGCTGGAAGACCCTACGCACACTTTGAGCGGCCAAAAGCAAAATCGGATGGTCTTCTCGCCGTCAAGGAATCTCGTACGCAACAAGGATCCTAACAATATCAAATGCTAACAAAGTAGCCGTGAAATTTGGTGATTCGCACCCACAATGTGAGCTCCAATGTACGCTGAGCATCCGAGACGCGTTGGGCCTTCGATTTGGCCCGGATTCTAAGCGACCCAAAACCGGATCTTGTTTATTCAGAGAGACATTTACCCTCAAACAGAATTATCAGCATTTCGTATTGAAGAATCCATAAAGCACAAGGTTAATCTCTTGGAGCATTTTTGTACGGGGTTAGGGAATTGATCCCTAGATCATATTCGTTTTTACCACTACAACTCCCCATTTTCAAGCTTGTCTTCCTTACTTTCTGCATCTGCATGGTCGTGATTGAAGGCATGGCTTTTGCGAATCTCGACATGATTTCCACTGTTCTGTGTGCCGAAATTGCAGATGAAACATGAAGCAATAAATCCGCATACACAGAACGCGATTGACACAAGAAAGACCGTCTTAAAAGAGTCCGCATACGCGGTCTTGGCGGCAGAGGCAACAGCAACCTCAATAGAGGTATTGATTCCTGGAACTTGGGCCATGACAGCAGGGTTTCCGGCATGGATGGCTCCGAACAGCTGCTCAAGGGAACTCGCCGGCAATCCTGCACCCAGAGCTGCGGAAGTAACGTCGTCTTGCAGGTTGTCCTTGAGTTCGTTGTTCAGGACACTGATATAGATCGCAGCTGCTCATGAAGTCAGCAATTCGACTCTTTTGGACCAGGTGGCTATGTGGAGGGATAGAAGACTGTAGCAAAACACATTCGTAGGACTTGACGGGTCACTTACACGCCACTGACCCAATAAAATACCGGAAGGTGCCAGCCAAACCAAAGGCCGATCCACTAAATATCGTTAGTGACATGGCCGATTAACATGAAGCCGTACTTACAGTAAGGTGGTAGGGAGGCTTGTCGAAATACAAAGCATGGCGTTGAGCTGGATGAAGACCAGGAAAAAGGATGCCACTGCAACAAAAGCAGAGGACATGACCCTAGATCCGGAGTCGCTGGCCGCCAGCGCAGCTGTGAAGGCTCCTTGAATGAGAACACCGACAACCATCTGGTATTTGTAAAATTTGAGCTTTTTGGCAATAGGGCCGTAGAGAGTGCCTCCGATGATATTGGCTACAGGCGCCACCATCTGAAAGTAGCTCTGTGTCCGTGCATTCGATGTCCACAAAGATGCGATCATGAGTGGCCAGAGTATGTTGAGCGAGTAATAACACATTGCTGAAACTCCGACGACAATGGTGGGCATGACGAATCTGTTAGACCAGTGTTAGTCAACATTTCCTGTTGTTGGTAGGAAACGAGATCTTACGATCGAACATGTCCAAGAAGTTTCATCGAGACCAATGGTATCTCCGGTCGTACAACGGCTTCATAGATGCAGAAGCCGATCAATGCGACAATACCCGTGATGAGTGGCCCCAATACATGACCCGATGACCAAGGATAACTTGTTCCACCCCACTGGAGGCCGATAAGCATCGAGGTAAGGGATCCCGCAAGAACCACAAAGCCGATCCAGTCGAAGTGAATGACTTCGTACTTGAGACTTCTTTGGCTGAGAGTTCCCTCTTCCTGAACTGTAGTTCTGTCTGGGGGAAAGTAGAGTGCCACGATTCCGACCAATACACTCCCATTAATCGCTGTCATCACCCACCAACATCCTCTCCAGCTGATCGAATAGTCGCTAACGAATGAGCCGGCTGAAAGAGTGTGAGTTGACAGATCTAGGTTATTCAGGAACTGGACACCCCTTACCAATAAGCGGAGCGAATTGAATAGGGATCGTGGTGACCGATAATATAGCTGTGTCCTGTCAGAGGGATGGACCAAGAGATATGCTGACAAAGGGACCACTGACACAAGACATAGGGCTTGAATTGATTTGGTACCAGCTCTTGCATTGCAGCTTGAGCGAGCTGATTACAAGCGGTGGAGACACCAGAAACAGCAGAACCTGCTATCATCATGTTAAATGAATCTGCTTTGGCGCAAATAATGTTCCCAATCACAGCAAAGACATTGGCTGCAGCTGGTCAGTGTCCCGTTGTGGCGCAACATGTAAGTAATCGGCCCGTACCGGCAATGAAGAAGTATCGTCGTCCAATTAGATCGGACCAGCGGCCACTCAACGGGAACAGACAAGTAGCCACGGTAAGATGTGCAATGGGTGTCCAGCCAGAAATGGTGGACGGGCCTGCTCGCAAAATTAGTCTTCAATGAATCAGCTGGTTGGAAAATCTCCAGACATACCAAATGTGGCTTGGTACTGATTCAAGAGGATTGACAAGAATATAACGATTCCCGTGGCTGAGGCATTGGCAATGCCCAGGAACTGGTTTCCCACAAATCAGCGACATTCAGGATCACAAATGGAGAGCATCGATAGTGCGCTGTACAAATAGATTGAGAATGACTCGGGGCGTAAATGCAGAACGCCATGTCATTGAATCCTCTCCCAAGGCTTGGATTGGGACATCTCTCGTCCCGGTTGACTCTTCCAGAGAAGGTTTTTCCCCAGCCATTGTGCGATACTTTGATCAAGTGACTTGTCCTCGTAACAATTGAAGATTGTCTGAGATCTGAGACTCCTCGAGCGGCGGCGGCCCTGACATACTTATTCGGTTGCAGGAGATTGTTATAGAACTCTACTTCTGTTGCCAAGGGTTTAATTCTCCCCACGGGGATACTAGAAGCGTATTCTTGCCTCTAAATCGTTATCATTCCGCGATTCAGCTTAAAAATTTCCTATTCGGACAAAGCACCCTCAGGCAGGCGTGCAAGAAAGGTTCCAAATAGGTCAGCTACGGAGCTTTCCCGGACCTAGCAGTTTTCCACGATGAATCAATTTCCCTATGCATTTGATTCTAGGCGCCGTGGCAGGTCGCCGCCTTCGCACCCGTTAATACTCTTCAAGCACTTTGTTGCCTTAACAACACCCTCCGCGGTTCTTCGCAGGCTGCAGCATTAGGGAATGGGAGGTTGTTCTTACGCTAATCAGGAACGAAACGGCCGCAGCCGTTTCTCCCACTGCTCGGCTCTAGCCTTCCTATCCTACATACGAGTTACCCGCAGTCATGTCCCCGAGCCCTGGAGTTCTTGGTATGTTGTTGGAGTGCGGCCAGCGGAAGGACTGGCCAAATGCGTCCCGGTACCCTGTAAACGGTACAGTACTAAGACTTCATTTTTACATCACTCGCAGGGTTTGAAACGATAGGCAAGGACGTAACGAAGAGGTTGAACTTGCTTCGGAGCGTAATAAGGCGTCGAAATATTAATGTGAAACTGATACACTCTGCAAAGCAAGGTGTTGTCATACAACAGCGCACCGGGTGAGAAACCTCTGGCGCGACTCAGCATACAGACATGGTTCACACCATTGTCATCGCATCGGTATTAGCACGTTGAGGTTTTATGATTTTGGAGTTTCAGATTTAGTTCTCAACCTTGAGCCGTGGTAGATAAGCTTCTAGATTGATCCCTTGATGCCATATTTCGTCATCATCGTCGCCAGGTCGTAATGCAAGATCAGAATCACGCGGTTAATTTTCCATTCCCCCTTCCATTTGATAACTTCAAACGTCTCCGAAAATGGGCAATTGATCTTCGCTTCCTCATCCTTCTCCTGCTCGGCTTTATCTTCGGTTTTCTTCAGCCCGTTCCAAGAGCTCCCAAGAACATGGACAAGGACCGGGGCGTTTGGGTCGCCGTCATGAGGGGGCAAGATAGCCATCCGGTCGATCTGATGAATCAACCAGGGATGGAATGGCATTCGAGTGTCAATTTGATGAGCGTCTGCTGAACCAAATGTAATTTGCTTGAGGCCGTTGTTGTAATACATTGCGTGTGGCGTGAACATGGCCTCGAAAACTTCCCTCTGGCTGCTATTGTCGACACGCCAAAAATATTCCTCCATAAAGGGCGTGAGCTCTTCCGTGATCGCCTTACAATGAGGTGCGACTTTACTGTATTCGCCTGGCTCGACTGGCCCGTAGTGCTTGGGAGGGCCCATGCAGTGCCATTTTTCGCTCACCGAGTGGTCGAAACCCCGCAAATTCTTACGAAGGTCCGTGGCAACGGCGGGAACAAGCATCGACTTGCGAGGTTGACCGCCGTTTGTTGTTGTGGAAGCCATAGGATCGGTCGATGCGGCAGAGGTTTTGCGATCTCGGGGAGAGAGGATTTGTACAATCTCGAAAACAACTAGATTTTGGAAGAAACTAGGTTTATAGCACAACTATCAAAAGGGCGATACTCATTAACGAGAATTTGCCAGCTCTTTTAAGTCTACAGCTGTTGTATGTTGTATAGTTAGCGGGATATGAGTAGAGTCCGGGGATGGAGAATAGTCGATAGTTGCGCAGCAAGCCAATTACCAGGGGTTCACAAATGTGGGCGTGAGATGCATTCGAATAAAACATCTACTCTCAAAAAATGCAAAAAGCATTTTTGACAAAAGTCAAAAATGCGACTGACAACCCAGAATAAGTTAAGAGTGCTGAATCAACTCGTTCTACCCTGATCTCGGTAGTGCTGTGGAAGAATGAAGAATTCCACTACGGGGTCCGTCTTAAAGAATGGATCTCAGGAGAGATCAACAAAACTAAGTCCGAACGGTACCCCGCCACTGACCGGCGCCTTCGCCAAGCGCTGAAACTCCATGCCCCAAAATCATCTAGACTCAAATCTGTCCTCGTATTTGCCCGATCAACGTTACTCGTACTATACGAGGCCCAGGCCCCAAAAGACGCCAGCCACATGTACGGGGTACAGATCTAAAATGCCCGACTCACTTCCCGTACTATCACGGCCGCCTTCCAACGTTTCAAAATTGGAATCGCCAACTCTTTGCTCGTGTTTGTGGCAATGATAGGTCCACAATGCCACCCAATGAGAGACAAACGAGGTGTATGAGACCCTTGGCCTAGATCTTGTGCTCAGTTTGCATAACTAATGAAACTCCATTAGCACCGAGCAAGCCTTTTTGAGATTTGAATTTAAAGTGCCCTGTCTTCCTGACAACAAAGAAGATCCACGGCGACGCTGGCATTCTTTTGGTCCGATCGAGTTATCAATTGGTATTCCCGGCATGGCATCACGAATTGTATTGATCACCGGTGCGAACACGGGCCTTGGGCTCGAAATCGTGCGCGCCTTGTATCGTTCCGAGTCCTCTTCCACCATTCTATGTGGCAGCCGCTCGCTTGACAAGGCGTCCGCCGCCCTGAAAGCACTCCAAGCCGATAAGCCCAAGAACCCCCAAACCACGGTCGAGCCTATTCAGATCGACATTGAAGATGACAATTCCATCAACTCGGCGTTTGACAATGTGGAAAATACACACGGACACATTGACTGTCTCGTGAACAATGCCGGTAAGCCGTTCCTTTTGTTCGGCCTTTGGCTCGGAACTCGACTAATCGTGCAGGTATTGCGTTGGACCAAGCCTTCCTGGCCGGCAAAATCAGTCAGCGTGAAGCGTGGGACAAGGCATATTCGGTGAATGTCACCAGCACTCACGTCATGACATACAAGTTTGCGCCGCTACTGATCAAGTCGTCCGATCCTCGCCTGATCTTCATTGGAAGCGGGACGGCCAGTTTAGCAAGGCAGGTCGCTCTCAAGAGCCCGATCGACCATTCGCCGCCGAAAGGCTGGCCGAAGCCTATCATTGGTCAATGCGCCTACCGGACGTCCAAAACCGCCCTGACGATGGTGATGCGGGAATGGGCCCGCATATTGAAAGAAGATGGTGTTAGAGTTTTTGCGTGCAGTCCTGGGATGCTGGCAACCAATCTTGGAGGCAGTCCTGAACAGCTGAAGGCTTATGGAGCGCTCGATCCTTCCATTGGGGGAGGGTTCGTCAAGGATGTCATCGAGGGCAAGAGGGATGCTGATGCTGGCAAGGCTATCGATAAAACGGGTGTGCAAGACTGGTAGTTGGAAGGACTCACAAGTGTTAGACTCAGACCGCGCTCCGATATCGAGGTTGGCGCAAACCGAAGGCACCGTCTGCACGCTTGGGCAATGACAATGCGTCGGCGGCTAGATCTTATAGGCATGCTTCATCAGAGGAATTATTGATACCATGGTGATCAGGCAATAGCACCTCAAGGACAAAAGGTAGAGCTGCTACTGCTTCTAGTCGACAGATACGGCTCCGTTCCTGTCTCGCCGAGCATGGGAGAGTGAAGCATTTTGACTAGGATTCCCAACCGCATAAATCACAAATGTTTCTTCAAACGAGGCCCTCATTTGGGGTGCTGTATCTCCACCCTGTACCCTTCCTTGTATCCACAGAAAATGACAAAAACGTGTAGTGGGTAGAACGTCTGAGAGGCAAAGATCTAGTCAAGTAGCTCTAAGGCAGTTCTCATTTAACGATAAAATAATTCTAACAATCATGTCTACTGATTTTAAAGTATAAATTGTTCCCTAAAACTGTTCAGGATGCATCAGATGTGCAGAGTTTTCGGTCAGCAACGCGTGTATGTTGTAATCTTCTCCGCTCCCCTATTTCGTTTGCCAGCAGAGCAACCCTTTCGCCGCCTCTTCTTTAGATTGGTTGCTTTTCTCAGATGGCTGGTTTGGCATTTCCCACAAAAATGGTAGCCTACCTCTCCGCAGGCTTAACATTCAACATCAGCGCTGATGTTTATACATTTGCGACACTGTCTCGGCCCACTAACAAGTGTATTTACAGCCTTCGAGCCTTAATTAATGGAGCACGCGATGACATCATTCGACCTTTCGAGTATGTACATCGACAAAGTTCCACCGAATACGAATGTCGGCCAAACCTTTGTCAAAATCCAACGCAAAACTACCCAAGGGACTGGAAACGGATGGACCTAGCCAATGTCACGTTCTATTATTGCTGGCATCTGCGTATGATTCGAAGCATGAAGCTCTCACATAAGGTGCTTGTCGCGACTTAGCCAAAATGGCGGGAATGTCTTACGACTCAAGGGCACCCTGGCAACCGGCAGTAACAGGGTACCTCACAGCCCACGTGGGTGATAACTACATACGTGGATCTTCTGTACTCGTTTCGGACTCATCGAAATCCAATCATATTTTCTATCGGCTCGTTCGAATACGAGGTACGACCACTGGCGGACCGTTGTGGGAATGTGAGCATGTAAACTCCGAGTTGATTTTCCTCCCCCCCCCCCCCTCCCGGGGCGGAGCCTGGAAAGCACACTCCCTGCAGCTGCTGCACCATCGTCTCACTCAGGAAAGGACTGTAGGAGTCGGCTGTTGCAATCTACACCTGCTTGAGAACGGTTTGGCTTTTGTGGGGACATGACCAAGGTCCTCACAACAGGTCTGCATGAGCAAATGATCCTAAAGAGTGCAGTCGGCGGCTGCGGTGATATTTCTGTCATTCAGGCGAAGGACACTTCGACGTGAAAGCTACGCAGCAGCTATCACAGGGACCATTAGAATATTACTTTGGTCCTAACAAGGCCCTGTTTAGTTCCAAAGGGGCTTCTGACATTCAACACAAGGCTTGGGCTGTTCCAGCTGAAATGGTCAATTTTCCTCAGGCTTTGGCGCATCTATTCGCTCTGCGCCTTCACCGCCTGTTCAAAGTCCTTCAGAAACTTCCACTTGACTTTCTCCGCCCAGCCCTGCTTCTTCCAGGCATTAGCACTCTTGGGGAACAAGTCAACGACGCCCTGGATGGTGTCGTCATGGGCGGCGATGAAGAAGACGTTGGGGTCCGCATCGGCAATCTGAGTTTTGGCTATTGTCTCGGCGATATCGGACAGACTGTGGCCATGCACGGCATCGAAGAATGGACCGTCAACCGGTCGCTCGAGGCGGCGGAGCGCATTCTCAAATATAGCCCCGGGACAGACGCTGAGGGCACTCTGGCTGGGGAAGGGATGCGGCGTGATCTCGGCTGGGATCGGTAAATATGGCGAGGGCCGAACCTCCCCGCCGTGGTGGCAGGTATCAGCCCCCATCAAGATGAAGGTATCTGGGTTCGTTGTCGTGCGGACTAATGCGGCAAGATGCGCAACCGTGTGGCCGGGCGCGCTCAGTAAGTAGAAGCTGCCGTCGCCGAAGAAGTCGTTGGCGTCAAAGTCGCCAATTTTCAAGTCCGTGAAGCTCGGTTCATACAGCTCGCGGCCAGTATAGTCACACTCGCGGATGCTTGACTCTTTGTTGGCTGGGTAGCCGGGCAGCAGGTTCTCCTTGAAGCCTGGGCCGACAACCAAGGTGGTCTCGGGGGGAAACAGCGCGGGGTCCCCGATGTGGTCAGAGTGCCAGTGTGACCACACAATCCAGTTGACCTCATTGAGCTTCACATCATTATTCTCCAGGATTTCCGAAACGTCGTGTGTGACTTGGAAGGCGGAAGGGTGGGCTTTGAGCTGCTCAGAGATGACCGGTGCCATATTCGCCCAGTCTTTGGGCATTCCCAAGTCGAACACAAGCTTGGAGTGCTTTCCCGATGCCGATGTGTGCTCGACCAGGAAACTCCAACTCGGAAGCTGCTTCAGGAGGTCGAATCCTGGCCATTTTGGCTTTATGAACATCCACGGCGGGAATGTCATCCGTGTGCTGCTGTCGATGATGCGAACTTGCGCCGTGGCGCCCGGAGGAACCTCGAATTTCGCCATGGTAGTAGTGGTGCAATTTGTTTTCGCGCTTGAGATACTGATACAGTACCCGGGTTGATCGAAGCGAGCAGACTGTCTCTATAGAAGCTCGCTCTGGGGTAGGGTAGGGTGATGGAGAAGAGAGAGGGAAGAAATTCGGGGGCAATTGTGGACTGGTGGGCGTTGCCATCGCCTGGCCGTCTGAAGCATGACATTTATTTGACCTCAACAGCTTGCTCCCCCAGCCCGCGTTGTCCCGGACTCGTGAACCCAGAAAGAGGCTCTGACCAGCATGTCTTCGCAGGTACCTAGGCTATCGGTCGCTGACAGTTTGAACAATAGCACAAGACCTTAACTGTCCCCTGCGCGAACTCAGTAAGCAATGGTCAATGAGTGTACTGCGGTGCGAGCTCTACGAATTGGGTACAAATTCCCCTGTTGATCGCCAGGTCCTCCACTCCGGCGGCTTGCTTCTAGACTGGACTCCTCCGATCCCTGCGGGGGCAGACTTGAGTCAGTATACGCTAACTACCACCATCCACAGATGTTGCATGTGACTCTTTTTCTGACCTTCAGGAACTGGTCACGGCGGGGCACTTGAATCGCCCATTGTTGCACCTTCTCAGAAGGACACGCTGGATGCGGCGTGGCTCTCCATCAAAGTCATCGGAAGTGTTTTGCCTCCTGTTGAAACATCGCGAAATGACAACCTTCCTGAAAAGGCCTAGCAGAAGACCTCTGTTAACTAGAACTCCACCACATCTCACGGAGGTGAGGATAATGTTTTCATTGGCCACCCGGTAAACCGGGGACGGTGCGTCACTCTCTCGAGCTAGGGTTCCGCTCCGAAAAAGCATTTCCTACTTCCCAATACAAGGGCCCACTCGCACAATTTTGTATATCCTGAAACTTACAGCACTACTTGACCACCTTTTCATCCTTGACTCGGCCGTTTGTTAAATCCACCCTTAACACCGTCAGTCTCGCAGCTCGGCCGTGTGTAAATTATTCGGACGGACGAAATTCGAGGGTGGCTGTGACGAGTCAACGCTAAGCCCGAAGAGCTGAACACAGACATTCTGTGCAGTCTTCTGCGGGAAACTAGTATGTATACTAGTTAGAACCCAAGTCTAGCTAGATAGGGCGTCAGGAATATGGCTACACTGACGGGATGAGCAGGGTACTCTCTGTGTCACTCTCAGGGCGAAGACTATTGGTCGTTGATGGCAGGGTTGCGGAGCGCAAGATTTCCTCCCTTTCCAGCATCACATCACTCCGCCACAAGACTAGGAACTCCCACAGGCTTCGGCCAAGCGTTCGGTGGTCGGATTTGGCAGCAAACGGCAGCGGGTCGTACTTCTCTTGGAATCTGGTGCTTAGGTGCAGTCAAGATGACCCGGTGTCAACCCGACCACCTCATGTTTGGATGGCGTCTCCCTCCCGACGGACTTCACACCTTGCCGTTCTGGAATTCCACACAGATCTGGGAGTCTCTGGATATAGTTAAAAATACGTTCAACGCGCTCGAGCTGTCTTGCTGAGTGAAAGCAGGTGCAGGCCTCGTCTTTCGAGCGTGATATAATACACGACCCACCCCCGTTAACAGGGCTTGAAGTAACCAGCACACCCACTCTTTGCGTGAAACCTCACCGTCCAGCCATGGGCGACGCACGAGCATTCAGCCATCCTCCCAGCCTCGAGGCTGTGGTCAAAAACCACTCGCTGCTTCGAGATTCCGCCTTCATTGGAGGCGAATGGGTTTCTAGGTCGTCCAAGTTCCCCGTATATGATCCCGTAACCAATAAGCCGATCGCTCAGATTGCCAATCTGGAAGTCGACGATTTCAAACGAGCCATCACTCACGCCGAAGCTGAATTCAAGACCTTCAAGGAGACCAGCGAACATGACCGTTCGAAACTGCTGCACAAGTGGGCCGCCCTCGTGCGCGCCCACGCCCACGACCTGGGCGTGATTCTTACCATGGAGAACGGGAAAACCCTCCCGGAGGCCGAAGCCGAAGTCGAGTACGGTGCGAGCTTCATCACCTGGTTTGCGGAAGAGGCGATTCGATCTTACGGCGACATCATTCCGTCTCAGCATAAAAATGCGACCAATCTAGTTCTACGCCAACCCATTGGGGTCTGCGGCGTCGTCACGCCGTGGAACTTTCCCATTGCCATGGTCACCAGGAAGCTGGCGCCTGCCATCGCAGCCGGCTGCACCGTTGTCATCAAGCCGCCGAGCGAGACCCCGCTTTGTACGCTGGCGTTGACAGCGCTGGCCGTCGAGGCGGGCATTCCACCGAACGTCATCCAGGTGGTCACAACCAAGAACCGCGCAGCCGTTGCCGAACTGTACACGAACCCCATCATCAAGAAGGTCAGCTTTACGGGTTCGACGGGGGTAGGTAAGCTTATCACTAAGCAAGCGTCCGAGACGATGAAGAAGGTGTCGATGGAACTTGGCGGGAACGCCCCGTATATCGTCTTCGACGACGCCAACCTGGAGATTGCCGTTGACGGCGTCTTGGCCTGTAAATACCGCTGCAGCGGCCAAACATGCGTGTGCGCGAACCGACTCTATGTGCAACGCGGCATCCACGACCGGTTCGTCGCTGCGCTCCGCAAGAAGGTCGAAAATTTCAAGATCGGATCTGGCCTTGACCCGACCGTCACGCACGGGCCGTTGGTCAACCGCGCCGCGGTCCAAAAGGTCAAGGAGCACATCGACGACGCAGTATCGAAAGGTGCTCAGTTGGTCTTTGGCGGCGACACCCCCGCCGAGATGGACGGCTACTTCATCCAGCCAGCCCTGCTGACCGGGGTGACACAACAGATGCTCGTGGCCAAAGATGAGACCTTCGGACCCTTGGCGCCTGTCTTTGCCTTCGACACCGTGGACGAGGTCATCGAGATGGCCAACGATACCGAGTTCGGTCTGGCCGGATATTTCTTCTCTGAAGACCCTAAAAAGATCTGGAAACTCGCCAAAGCTCTTGAGGTCGGCATGGTAGGGGTTAACACGGGCAAGATCAGTGCGGCCGAAGCCCCGTTCGGCGGTATTAAGGAGTCTGGCCTCGGAAAGGAGGGAAGCAAATACGGTCTGGAGGAATACCAGATTCGCAAGAGCGTCACCTGGGGCAACTTGTTCTAGGAAGGACGGTATGGCATTGGTGGCTGATGGTACTACTTTGTTAATCCTAGTCTAGGAGGGACGGCAAATCAACTAGTACGAAATGTGCCAAATTGTCATGAGCCAAATTGCTACGTCTACTTCTTCGCGCGGAATTTAAAAAGTCTAGAGATTGTCCAAACATCACCACGCAAAGTCCAATCCAAGGGTAATTGAATATTTTGTTCTTTATGGGAGCTTCTTTCAAAGGGGTCACGAATAAAGATAGCTATCTCGATTCTTCAACCGTCTCACATGTTTGGCGGCGGAAAAAGGGTCCGGGAACGTCGCTTTCGTGGGCGTGGGTCTCGACTCAGAACATGGACAAAAAGCGTTTCTCTTTCACCACCCATAGATGTAGAGAGCACCATTCCAGCCCCTCCAACCTCAGAGACTATTCAATCCGGATGGTATCCCGGTTATCTTCTCGACCCCGGTGCCCTGCATGGCGAACCCGCTCACCACCCCGTAGAAGGGCATCTTCGGCAAAGCGATCCACATAACCGTGCCAGGTGGGCAGGGTGAGCTCGTCACCTTGGTAATAGGTGATTGAGTTGTCCTTGGTCACCTCCATCTTGGCCGTCTTGGTCTGGACACGGCTGGTGCCGGCGAACGGCGAATAAATGGGATACTGGACGTCGGCGACGCCTGGTTGGCCGACGGCACCGACATAACGCTCATACAGTCGACGCCATGAAGCAAGAGCGCCGTGTGATTGTATCCGGCGCCGCCCAGCAGCCAGTCCATGCCAGTCACTATCCCAGTCATCCACGACGCCTCGGCCACGCGGACCCGCGAGAGCGGAAGCTGAAGCCCTCGGGCAAGAATCCATCGAGCACAGTACGTGAAAGTGCGGAATTCCTGGTAAAACTGGAGCGCTTCCGGCACTTGATCAGCACTCACTTCGAGCAGTAGTAGCGCCGCCAGCGCGGCCGCATCTTCCAGAGCCTGTCCAGCACTGTACACTGGTCGCAAACCGTATGCATGGGCGGCTTCGCCGATAAGAACGACTCTCTCGTTGTGCCATCGCGGCAGTTCCGGCACATGTTGCCACAGCTTGGTCGAAGCTGCGTTGTGGATGGTTTGATGGACCTGGCCTGCATGGTCATATAGTCGGTGCTCTGTCGAACATGGTCAACTGCAATGTTGGGGGGTGCCGTGACGGGCCCACCGAGAGCTTACGCCATTGCTAGTTGCTGCGCCGCCAGTTCCTCCAAGGTTCTCCACGTGCACACCGAATCTCTTGAGAATGTCGTTGGCGTTCGGCGTGAGATCGAGAGGGGCGCCATCCTCATCCGAAGAGTCCGACTGCTCAAGAATCTGGATGTCCCGATTAGCCTTGGGGTGCTAGGCGGGGTGGCCGCATGTGGATGAGCCTAACTGTGACAAGGTGACCTTGTTTCCTTGGGCCGAGCGTCGCGGGCAACCCCGCTATACCACCACCGACGACGACAACATTGAGACGGCTGAAGGTGTTGGGTTCAAAGTCAGAGCCGCTCAAGGCCTTACTCGAGCCGCCGGTGCCTTTGGAGCTATTGGTGAAATAGGACATGATGTAGAGGGGGGACGCAAGTCCAGCAAGAATTCGCTAGACTTGTGGATGTACATACATACACACATAGATCAATACATTTTACGACGGAACCCACTCCTAGAATAGTACTAGTATAGTGTATTGGCCCACGCGGTCTGCTGGTGTTCTGGAACGGGCGATGAATCAGGGGCACTATCCACCGGTGTCAGCGCCAAGTTTCCTCATTTGGCAGGTCGCAGGGTCGTTAGTTGACGTCGAGAAGACCCATCGGGCTCGTGACGGGCGGCCATTGTTGCGGAGTCATGACCAGCTAATGTAATCGCGTATCTCCTGATATGGCTATGGGGAAGAGGGCTAGGATTCTCCGTTCGGTATTAACTTGGTCATGATTAACGACCAATCCACGAAATGTAAGATTTGACGTTGCTAGTGTTTGCCTCGTCAGGACGGGCTCAATGGGAATTCTTGCATAAAATGGTTGTGCCTTGACAAGACCGGTGTTTTCTCCGATAGAACGCTTCAGTCTGTGAGCAATACCTACTGCTGTCACGCCGACGACGACTCTGCTTCTTCATTATTTCAGCCTTTACTGTTAGGGTGGCATTGTCTCCGCGATATTGATGGATTATTACGCCGTCCCTGTGCCCGAGGGCAAAGGCCCGCTGGAAACCCGACAGTTCATCAACGGAAAGGTGAGTGAGCAAGAAGCGTCCTCTCCGCGTATCAAAGGCCAGCGAGGGCTGATACACAAATGCTGCACAGTATGTGGACGCAACATCTAACGCCCGGATGAGCTGCTACCGGCCCTCCGATCACTCAGTGGTGACCGACGATATCCACGTGGCGGAACAGGCCGATATCGATGCTGCGGTCGCCGCAGCCCGCGCTGCGTTCAAGCCATGGGCGGCGACACCGCCTCAGGCACGAGCTAAGCTTTTGCTACGGATTGCAGACCTGATCGACGAGCACGCCGACGAATTCGGGCGGCTCGAGGCCTTGTGCACGGGCAAGCCCATGACGCAGACTAGGAAGTTCGAAGTGCCGATGGCCTCGGGGATTTTCCGCTGTGGGTTTACTCTGGTATGCTGTAGTAGAGTGGTTAGATAACTAACAGAGAATGTGTGCAGACTATGCCGGCTGGTGTGATAAGCTCGAGGGCGAATCGTGGCCTGCCGACAACGGGTTTATGAAGCTCGTGCGGCGGGAGCCGATCGGGGTGTGTGCGGCGGTCAATGCCTTCAACGGGCCGCTGGTGATGATCGCGATGAAGGGAGCGCCTTGCCTGGCTGCGGGTAACACGATGGTTTTGAAGGCGAGCGAGAAGACACCCCTGTCGACCATCTATTTCGGGAAGATTCTCCTGGAGGCAGGCATCCCGGCCGGCGTGATGAACCTAGTCAATGGGCCCGGCTCGACGGGTGCGCTGCTCGCGTCGCACCTCGACATCGACAAGATCTCCTTCACCGGTAGCGTGGCGACGGGCAAGCGTATCGCGGAGGCGGCGGCGAGGACCAACCTCAAGCGTGTCACGCTCGAACTCGGCGGGAAGAGCCCAAGCATCGTCTTCCCTGATGCTAACCTCCCAAATGCGGTGCAGTGGTGCATGCAGGGTATCCTCGGCAACTCGGGCCAGGCATGTATTGCCAGCTCGCGAGTCTACGTGCACAAAGATATTAAAGAGACATTCCTGGCGCAACTCAAGGGGCTTTTTGAGCAGATGGCAGCAGCCTTTGGCACGGATGCCCATCACGAAGGGACGCTCTTCCCTCCGTTGGTCGACAAGCTACAGTTCGAGAAGGTCTTGTCCTATGTCGAGTCCGGAAAGTCCGAAGCGACCCTCGTGACAGGCGGCAAGGCTTTGTACGCGCAGGTAAGATTACTGGGGGTTTGCCCCCCCCCCCCCCTTCCCCTAGGAGGAACACCACCCCCGGGGCGGGTCCCAAGAGACAATATCCTATTTCGCGTTGCGCTAACCTGTCCGGCGTGACAGGGATCTTGGATGACACCGACCATCTTTCTCGACCCTACGCCCACGGCAAAAGTCTACAAAGAGGAGATCTTTGGCCCCGTGGTTGTGGTGAGCGAGTTTGAAACCGAGGAGGACGTCATCGCCCGCGCGAACGACAGCCAATTCGGCCTCTCCGGCGCCGTGTTTACCCAGGATCTGAACCGGGCCATGCGCATCGTCTCCCAGATCGACAGCGGCACCGTTTGCGTCAATTGCTGCACCATGGTCGACCAGACCGTGCCGTTTGGGGGTGTAAAACAAAGCGGCTGGGGCCGAGAAATGGGCAGGGTAAGCAAGCTGGACTTCTTGTATCTTTGGGAAAACCTAGTATCGGCTCACCAGGTCCTTGAGCTCCTAGTGGGGTGGTTATACTCACTCTGCTTCCCCTTGGATCCCCTACATGTGCTGACACAGGATTTGTTACAGGCTGGCATTAATGCGTACACGGAAACCAAGACTGTTTTTATCAAGTAAGTATCCGCCCTTCCTGTGCAGGTTTCCCTTGCTGACAAAGCGCTTTTTCCTCCACAGTATGACCTATTAGTCGGCGAAGAAGGTGCACATGCTGCCGTTACAACGATGAGGAGATGGGCGGAGAAGACTGCGGCGGAGTGTGATTGAAATGGCTGGGTAGAGGGATACAGGTATAGATATACATTTTCGCATGCATGAATGCATGATATTCGAACCGCAATTTTGAGTAGTTACAGGACATTGTAGACATAAGATTCAGGATCCATGTCCTCCAACAAGTGGCCGTAGCTGCGGATGAATTCCGAGGTTAGGCCCCAGCCTTCGAGCTGCGTAAAAACCTGGAAAAAGTCGGGCCGGATGCTCAGCTCGTTCGTTTCACTGGTCTCCAATATCTCCTTCCCCCAGGGCCAGCGGACCTTGGCGCAACAAGCCATGGCGCTGAAGATCTCGGCGAAGCCGCCATTCGGAGTTCCCTGGCGGATCAAGGCAAGGCGGATCGCGGGCCAGGTGATCAGGTCAAAGATGGCCTGGTGGGGGAAGACCAGCTGCTCCCGGGTCGGCCGCATGAAGGCAGGGATGAGCTCGAAGCTCTCCTTGGTCGGACACACGCGCCATTTGCTGTAGACGTAGATCAGCCAGCCTTTGGCCAGACGTTCAGGCTCTGCAACGCGGGACTTGCGGAGGGCTGTGTGGACCTCATCGGCGAGGAAGTTGGTCTTCGAGCCGAACAGGAGGTGGGAGGGATCTGGAAGCCGGGGCGATGCGACGATGGCCTGTGGGTGCATGAACCAGGGCAAAAACTCTCGATTGAGGCTATCTTCCAGGCCGCTGTTTGGCAGTGACGCCCACGGCGGGCCGAGCATGGGCATCAGCATCGAGCCTACTCCGCTGAGACGGTCCTGGCGGAAGTCGGGCCCGCTGGCTCTCGTCAACTCACTCTCCTTGGGCGTAGGGCGTTGCGCGGCTTGGAACACGGAGCCCTCTTGGTCCGGAACACCGCCCGGTTCCCCCACCAGCGGGCCGGAGGAGCTGTCACAGCTCTCGATGAACGAGGCGCGCCACCGTTCGATGGAGGTTGGGGTGAATTCAAGGATCCTGGAGTCGGCATTGTCCGGAGCAACGTGACCCGAGCAGGGGTTGGAACCGGGGTTCACCACCAGGTCGGTTGCGCCGTCGGAGTCGGGGCCATGGCTAAGCAGAGGCAAGGTAGAAGGAGCACAAATCAAGTCCGTCAACTGGAGGAGGCTCGCGGACGCGCCGTTGGGCACCGTTATCGACGGCGCCATGGCCAGATTGTCACCTATTGCCCCGTCCTCGCCAACAGCGACATGTTGGGAGGCGTCCTGCGTCAACGGAGGCCCGTTCACCATGTGTTCTCCCAGCAGGTCCGCCGCTTGCGTCAGCAGATGGCGAGCTGAGCTGAACGCCTGGAACAGCTTCTGCCATCTCTCGTTCAAGGTTTTGTTTTCGAGCTCGAGATCCCCCACCCGTTCCAGCAGCGGTTCCAGCATCGCTTGGCCATGGCGTTGTTCACACAGGGCCACTTGCTCCTCCAGCCTCTGGATGCGTTCGATCCTCCTCTCGCGGAGCTTTTGCTGTGCCTGCCTATCCCGGGTGCGTTTGCGTTCCGCCAACGAGGTTGCACTCTCCCGAGTCTTGTCGTACCTGAAGGTGCCGAACATTTGTTCGATTTGAGAGGCCAGTGAACAGACAGCCAGTGGATCAGGGATCGATTAATGGTGTTTGGAGCGGAACTCAAAGGCAGATACCAGACGCAGAGACCAGATGGAAAATCCAGACCGTGTGTTGATGCTGGGAATAAGTAGGATGGGACGTGACAAAAAATAGCGAACAGTGTCGTATGTCGACGATGGAGCAGAAGAAGGATTTCGTGAAATGAGAGATTCCTATCCAGCACAGGTGGCGATGGCCGTGGATCTACTCCGTAGGCCAGTAAGTTGACGCGATCCTGAATGCCGATGGCTATCTCTGAATATCTATGTCGAAGGAAGTGAAGTCCAGGAGGAGTTGACCAAGTCCTTAAAAGGATTGGGGAGGGCCAGACCTATTCTAGTCTAGTATCAGCAGGTACAGATACCAAAGAGGTAAGACAGGCAGGTGCTTACCGTATGTATGTATGTACATGTGACAACTAGGGTGGAACAAAACAAAACAGCCACCCGAGCCATCTGTACGAGTACTTGCGTACGTATGTACTGTCCTCCGGGGAAATAAATGCGGAGAAGAGAAAAATGGGTGGCGAGAAGGTGACGCGGTGGAGCACCCTTTGCGCAGGCGCGGGTGCAGATAGATAGCCTGGTCAGAGGCAGGGAGAATATTGTACTTACAGCATGTACTTACAGTAGTTATTGGATGAGTGACGCTAACTAGTCTCAGAGCTCAATCTCTGAAGGACCCAGAATACAATACGAGTACCTGAGCTGCTGACTCGTCTTTGTGGGGTAGACGGACATCTGCAAGCTGTGGAGATAAGATACCCTTCCCCGAGCGTTTCCGGTCCTCTCCCCAGCGTCAATGGATGCGGGTCAGATCCTTGGATAGCCAGGAGACATGGCGCTCGCAGCCCCTACTCCACGGGCGTTGATCGATGGGAGAAGCAGGGCATTCAATCCGGGTGCCAGAACGCGGAGTGTACACTAGACAAAGGATTCAAGGTCCGGCGGGCTACGGGGCGTGGCGAGCACGCGGCACCGCTCAGCCACGGCTTTCTGCTTGTTTGACTACCTCCAAGAATTCATGCCATACCCCAGAAGATGCGCATGCGGCACTGGCTGTGAGGCTGTGGGCCGTTCCAATCTCAACTTTCCGCAAACAGCAGTGAGGCGAAAACCAGTCACGCCCACCTGAAGAAAAGGAAAGCAAAGGAGAGAAGCGAAGCTGAGCGATCCGGGGTTTTTTGGACATCTTTGATACGTGGCGATGGAAGGCGACAGCCTACTTGGATGGAACAAACGAGCTCAACAGCAAGTCCACAGCCTCTCGCAGATCTACAACAGTAAGCATAGGGCACCCTTCCACCATATTTTTCTACAGACAAGCCGGCCAGTTGCGGAGAGGGCACTTCCAGAACATCTATCATCGGCGGACATCGATACAAGCTGTGGCATGCTCCAACGCGCAGAGATGCGCCTCTCTTCCCAGTCCCGAGTGAGACCCGCCGACACGTGGATGCCTGCGCGCAGCCGCACTCCCTAGAATTTGTATCGGTAGCCGCCGATTTATTTGTTGTGCGCGCATTCCGTGAGCCGTACATTGCCCCAGATCGCGACACGTCAAACCGACTTGGTCTCCGCCAGGGCCTCATCCAAAATGGGCAGCAACGTATTTCGGAAGGCGATAGGATCGTCGGACATGGTGAAATGACTAAGGCCCTTTAGGACCCTGAACTTGATGCTCGGGATGTTCTTAGCGACGGCCGGGGCGCCGTGCTCCTTATCGTGCGTAGTGTGATCGTACTGGCCGGTGAGCAGGTAGACGGGCTTCTTCCCGTCGATCTTATGACCATTCCGCTTCATGTCGTGCCCGCTAGCAAAGTAGTCATTGTCGCCCGCGTAGATGCCGGGGTAGTTGGAGGCATAGATCCATTGGACTTCATGGACATTGAATTCGGGGGCCAAAGGGCTGCAGGCGCCGATCATGTTGGCCGAGAACAGATGCGGCGAGATGGATGGCGTTCGGAAGATATCGTTGGACAAGGATTTGAACGTAGGCGGGCAGTCGTACCAGCCATTCAGGGAGAAGAAGGCGCCGAAGCGGTCCTTGTGCTCGGCCGCGAGATCGAGCGCGAGCTGGCCGCCGACCGAGCAGCCCATGAACCAGGGCTGATCGAGCGACAGCGCATCGGCCAGGCCCACCACCCAGGACATCAGGTAGTCGACGTCCGGCAGATACTTCTTCTCCCACCAGCGGTCGTCTGACGGCGGCATCGACTTACCGTGGTAGGGCAGGTCGTACGCGATCAGTCGGAAGCGCTTCTGCAACACCGGGTCGGCGAGGAAGTACCGGTACTGGCGGCTGTCGGCACCGGCGGTGGCCTGGAGAAGGAACGGGATCGGTCCCGTGCCGGCCTCCTCGTAGTAAATGCGCGCCTCAGTGCCGTTGGCCTTGACCCAGACATAGCGACCAACCGCGGTGTCGGTGTCGCGGAAGGTCTCCACGAACGGGTGCCGCTTGACCGGTCGAGCAATGTCGAGGAACAGGATGAAGAGGCGCTGTAGCGCAAGCTGGTACGGCGCGATCACACCCAGAAAGTCGCCCGAGACGCTGAGGCCGCTGGTCTGCGCCATCGTGAGACTCTCGTATCCCGGGATTGGCGCACCATCCTCGAGCTTCAGGGCCGTGTTCCAGAACGCGTCGCTAGCACTAATGGTGACTGCCGCGTCGCCCGTCGCCGCCCTCACTTCGGCCACACCTGTGCCCTGGAAGACGAAGTCAACACCCGACGATGAGCTAGAGAAGCGCACAACCGCGACCAGGCCGCGTGATTCATGACTCAGCTCGGAATCCGTCTTCGCCTTGGATAACTGTTCAATAGTAGGGAATTGGGCCATCGCAACGGCAAAGGAGCTTGTTTAGTAAGAGCGTCTAGAAGAATTTATGTAGCACATCTGCGCATAGAACGGCGCGAGCCGGTAGATATACAAAACTGTAGACTCGACGTACGCCATGCCGTCAGCCTCTCCGATGAGCTTTCTGCTCCACAGCAGAGATGCTTCAGATTTGGCAAGACAATTCACTTCTGTGCCATCCTCGACACATGCAATGCTGACATAGGAGTTCCGCTCCACAACCGTGTGTGTCCGGAGAGCTATTTGTTACAATCACCCACGTGGAGATGTTCCGCCTGTATGTACATGCATATTTTCGTGGTCTAGTCTGCTCCACTCACCCCCTGTCACCCTGGGGAGGAGCAGCATGGAGGTGCAGCTGATGTGGCAGATCTGGACCCCTTTCCGGCAAAAACTAGCGCAGCATCAAGCCGCAAAGCCTTGCGCGGCTAGCCTGATTCTTCCTAGCTACGATGTCAGCGATTGCACCCCCAAATAAGGCAGCTCTTGGCATGAGTCAGGAACAGCCCCCCCTCGCTGCGTTTGTGCACAGGCCACTTGACCAACGTAATTCCTCTTGATTTGTGCCCAGGACATGAGGCGAGATTGTGCGTCCATTCTAGGTTGTGTTCTAGAATCTCATGCGTAAAGTCTCAACTGTATGTACTCCGTACATAGACTCTTATAATTTAGATCCCCGGGTGGTTTGCCTCTGTAAAACTTACCAATTGCGCACTAGAACTATAGCCGGTCGAACTTGGGAAGCATGCTAATCGGGTCCATTGAACGCAGTAGTCTTATAAGAATGTCCCTTTTGGTCATGTTCCCTGGTTTGTTCAGGGAGAAAACTCCCTCTCCTCTCTCCCACTAGATCTCCTCTAAGAGTGGTGATTCGGCCTGCAATCCGCATGCGGAAGGGTTGCTTTTTAGGAATAGTTCGTCTCGTCGTCCCTTGGCAGCCATTTGCCGACTATTCGCCTGAGATGGTAAGCTCTAACCTCTATACCTTGCTCAAGACACAGAGTTGGCAGTCCGGACCATGCTCACGCCTAGTGTGAGTCCGGTCCATGCTATTGCTGGACTTTTCGTACGTCGTGATAGATGTACCCATTTCGACTATCACAAGTCCGTTTGGGGTGTGATATTGCACAGAGGTTTTGAGCTTTCCCGAGCAGAACTAGAACGACTGACTCACCCTTGCTTGCGCAATTTCGTTGCTATCCAGGCCTAGACCCCACGTCCCTTGTCATTGTCAGGGGGAGTCTCGTCGAGCGAGAAATGTGCTGTCTAATGCGCGTGGACGCTGAATCATGAGTCCCTTTACCCCTCAATTTGCGGGATCCCCGGTTCGTTGTTCTGACTGGTGTTGCCACAGGCGTGCCCAGCCAACGTTTCGATAAATCTTCTCATATCAGCTTGCATCCTTATATTCTCGACAGGAGCTTTTTCGATCGCGCACAAGCTGCAGCAAAGGGTTGCTTCGAAACGTGGAACTTACCGCAGAACCGATGGCTCGCATGTTCAACCTTGCCTGAGATGGACTCTAAAATCGACTACACCCAACAAGAGGAGCTGACGCATGGGGATAACCCGAACCATGTGTCCGAGAAGGCGACTCCCCTGAGATCCTCTAGAGAAGACAACCTGACATGGCGCGAGGTATTTACCTGGCGCGTCAACCTTAGTATTTTGGTATGCCCTAGCTGAAGAGTAGCAACCCAAGAGTGACCTTCTGACAAGGAGATAGTTTCTAGGCATTGCGTATGCTCAGACGATTGGTTTCATCCTTTTCTGCTCCATTCTCGTGTCTGAGTATCAGAAGTCCTTCGGTATGAGCCTAATCCACGACCTTGTGGCCTCATCACCAACTGAGTTGCGCAGGAGCGGCGTCCAACGCAACTTGGATTCCTATTTCGCATATTACGGCAGCCACCGTCGTCTTCTCCATCTGGGGAAGATGGTCTGATATTGTCGGACGACGCTACGTATTCCTTGCAGGTATGAACAGCAGTTTTGGCGTCCGCCTTTCGCGCGGCTGCTGACAGGAGGACTTAGCGAACGTGTTTTCCGTCGTCGGATCAGTCGTAGGGGCCACCGCAAGCTCCAGCAATCAAATGATCGCAGCCGGGGTTCTCTCTGGCATCGCGAACGGAGCCAATCAACTGAGCACCGCGGCCATGTTGGAGCTGGTTCCCAACCAGTTCAAACCGTACGTGATGGGTGAGCCTAGCCCCGAGCCCAAGTTAGCAATCCCAGTGCACTAACTGCCCGTGTTATCTTAGGCTTCTGGGCGCTCAGCGGGTTGCCTTTGCAGTTCGCCCCCCTGATCTGTAAGTTTCCAATCGAGAAAGAGGTGCGGTGGGCCGCACTGACTATTCTGCCAGCGGGAAGTTTCATCGCCGACTACGGTGTTGGTTGGAAAGGCTGCTGGTGGTTGATGCTGGCCATCGCAGCCACAACCTTCATCGGCCTCCTTCTCGTCTATTTCCCGCCTAAAGGGGAAGAGATGGACCAGAACGAGGAGTTGAAACATGGCTTCAAGTATGAGCTCATGCACTTTGACTGGTTCGGTGTCATTCTGCTCGCAGGATCCTTGGTCTCCATTCTGCTCGGCCTCCAGTGGGGTGGTCAGCAGTATCCGTGGGACTCGGCTCGGGTCATCACTTGCATCGTCGTCGGTGGTGTTGGTCTTGTGGCGCTTGCCTATTGGGAATATCTTTCTATCCCGAAGATCCCACTTGTCTCAATGGAATTGATCAAGATGGGTAGAGCGTAAGTCCTCTCCCTGGATGATCTTCTTGGGATACCCTCTCTCAGACTGTGAGGTTGGCTGCTCACATCCAGATACCAGGTTTGTCATCCCTTGCACCACCATTGCCTTCTCTGCCATGGGCTACTATTCAATGAACATCATCTGGCCGATAATGATCTCGGCCCTGTTCACAACCAGCGCTCGAACCGCGAGTTACTACCAGATGGCATCACCCTCGGCCACATTAGCCGCGGCCTTCGTGTACGCCCCCATCGCCAAGCGTGTCAAACACTATCGATGGCAAATTGTGTTCTGGAGCCTGTTTCAAGGCGCCTTTACCGCGGCAATGGCCGCATCCGACAAGGACTCGCGTGTCATGTCGACGGTCTTCGTGTGCCTGATCGGAGTGGGCCTCACGGGCTTACAACTGAACGCTCAGCTGTGCTTTACGACGCAAATACCGCCTCGTCTCCTGTGAGCCATCTCCTGCAGTGCATAGATTCGATAGCGATGCTGACTTGTGTGCGCAGCGGCTCCGCATTTGGGCTTTCCGGCTGTTTCCGCCAGTTCGTGGGCTCGATTGCCTGTAAGTGTCCTTGTTGCGTGACCGGCACAGTTTTCTTGCTGACTGGCCTCATATAGCGGCGGTCTACATCACCTGCTTGCAGAACGAACTCAAGTCGAACCTTCCGAAGAAAGTTACTCCGGCGGCCTTGGGTGCAGGACTGCCCCAGTCCTCCCTTCCCAGCCTCTTCGGGGCCATCAGCAGCGGAGATCCCTCAGCTTTCGCGGCTGTCTCTGGTGCGACACCAAGTGTACTCGCTGCAGTCACGGATGCTGCCAAAGAGGCCTACTCGGAATCCTTCAAGACTGTCTTCTTGGTCTCCATCGCCTTTGCTAGTGTCTGTACTCTCTCGTCCATTTTTATCAAAAGTTTTGGTACAGAGAACACGGACAACCACATAACTCTCAAGGTGAAAGTCGTTGGCGAAGACGAGGCGGAAAAGGTGACCATACGTAAGCTAGATCTGTAGAAAGCCACGGGGTTGCCATAGCTTGTTCCGGGCGGGGGAAGCGGGTTTTGACATTATTTGTCGGAACCTCAGATTTCTCACGACTTGAATACACATATAGAGTAACTGTCCTAACTATTCTGCCTTTTGTTATTCCATAAGTGTAATTGGCAATGGATCATATATGGGAAATGATAGGAACCGGCTGCAATCGCCCGATGTTGCCAGAATCGTGTTTGGGTGTAGATTTCTAGACTCTTCTAGTGTTGAAGAGAAATCACCGGGAGGAACCTCAAACCTGTACATCAGAGGAGGCACCCGGCCCTAGGATCTTGAGGATCATTCACACAGAAACCCCGAGCCACTGCAACATTTACAATTGCAGCAGAACGTAGCTACCCCAGCCACCTGCGGCTATTGTAGATCTCTTCATCTTTCTTCTTTAGGCTCTCTGTTTCGATTAGTAGTCACTGCTTGGCACGTGCAGTATTAGTTATGCAACTTTGAAGTTGACCGGTAGAACGATGAACGGGGCCAAGGTGAGAAGAGCTACTGCTTTTGTCACATCGCGACGTGTATACTCGTCAGTTGACCAGCATGGCCAGGATGATCGGGTACACCGGCACGCTCCGTCTCACCTATACCCCTATAGAACTAGCCGGCATAATATAAAAGTCAAGAGATTCCCAATGTACGGAGTGCTTCAAATTCCCACCCACGAATTGTCACCAGGCCAAGAACACCACAAGCAACTCACGTGCAGAATCGGTTGGTTGTGCTCAACACGTGACCCGCTCTGCGCCGCGATTATTACTCTTTCGACCGTTCCAAAAAGGGCCGTATAGAAGACCTGGTCCTGTTGCAAGCTGGCTGGGTGTTGTGGTTTATTGTACAAGTTGTATAACGTCTCGGCCCTAATGGGCGTCCCACTCTGCTTTCGTACTCGTCGCATTTGAGTTTCAGGCGGGGGAATATACGAAAGGGGAAATCAGAAAACGAGTCAGCTTGAACCGTCAGACTCTTGCCCTGAATGGATTGGTGCAACGAGGGAATCCTGCCAATCCCACTGATGTAGGAATTAGCCTAGACGATACGGAGTATAGTTTAAATAGTGGGGGAAGCTAACTACAACGGGCCCCCCCCCCGGGATAGATCATGTCCCCCCAATGCACCGGAACGTGCTGCGTGGCGACCTGCACCTCTCGCTGAATATGGAGTTATCTCTTCTATCGCCGCTCCGAGTGTTACTAAGTTCTTGCAGCACACCTTTGGAGAGTTCCGATGTGAGGCAACAAGAAGCAAATTGCATAAAAGCCTTCAAAGGAATATCACGCTCGCGGACACGTATAGATCATTCAGTCGGCATCAGAGTTCTTCGCCTCTTGCAGATTGTTCCACGCCACGTCTGATCAACAGCCATCCACCTCCCCCGCCCCTTCCGACACCAAAAGATGCCTCAGAATCCCTCGACCACCGCCACGGGCAACAAGCCTCGGGTTATCTTGGGGTTGATGACCTTTGGCCCTCCCGGTACCGAAGCCGAGGGTTCACGTATCGTCTCAATCGACGAGTATAACAAATGCCTCGACACTTTACAGTCACGAGGCTGCAACGAAGTCGATACAGCTCGAATGTACATTGGCGGCGCCCAGGAGGCCTTCACTCGTGAGGCAAGGTGGAAAGAGCGCGGATTGACGCTCGCGACGAAAAATTACCCAATCGTCCCTGGTGACCACGAACCCACGAAGCTGCGCGCCACCCTGGAGAAGAGCTTGTCAGAGCTAGGGACGTCATCCGTGGACCTTCTCTACCTGCATGCGCCCGATCGAAGTGTGCCATTTGTCGACACACTGCGAGAGTTGAACAAACTGCATCAGGAAGGGAAATTCGTGAAGCTCGGGTTGTCTAACTTCGCCTCCTGGGAGGTGGCTGAGGTGTGGAACATTGCCAACGATAATGGTTGGGTCAAGCCATCCGTTTACCAGGCATTGTACAACTGCATCACTCGCTCCATCGAGCTTGAACTAATTCCATGCTGTCGCAAGTTCGGGATCGACATTGTCATCTTCAACCCGCTTGCAGGCGGCCTGTTCAGTGGCAAGTACAAGTCCAAGGATGCGCCGACGGAGGGTCGTTTTAGCACCCAAAGCCCGATATTTGGAAAGGTATGTCGACGGTTCATTGTTCCCACGTTTCTCCGTGCACCCTTTCCTCATCCCCAAACCAAGGTCGCTCGTGCCTCCCTAAACGTACTGCTCACGAAAACAACGCTAGCTTTACCGCGGCCGCTACTTTCAAGACCCCATCTTCAGCGCACTCGCCATAATCCAGCCGATCGCAGAGAAGAGTGGCTTGACCCTACTTGAGACTGCGCTACGGTGGTGCGTCCACCACTCCGCATTGAAGGTCACCGATGGAAATGACGGCATCATCATTGGCGTCAGCAGCCTGAAGCAATTGGATAGTAATCTGACCGATCTGGAAAAGGGTCCGCTGCCAGAAGAAGTAGTGAAAGCGATCGATGAAGCTTGGGATAGTCTCAAGTCTCGCGCAGCCAACTACTTCCATTAGCGCACCCGAAGCACCCAAGAGTGCTACGGCGAGGTAAACACTGTTCTGCAGGCCGGCTTATCTTCATCTGCGCGTGCTACATTCAAGACGTGGAAGCGCATTCGGGTGTCCACGTTCTAGCTCAGGAGGTCGATCAGGTTGTGAAACTGACCGAGTCATTCTTGCCGGAGTTAGCAATCAGGGGAAATCGCTACACACAAAAACATTCTCAACCTGGGGAATTAGGCGAACTAGGTCCAAACACTGCCTGGAGCAATTACTCAAGCCGCGTGGGGACGACTCGTACCTTGCTTCGAGGCCGTAAATGCCGAATCTTTTTCAGGGGCAAGCTGGGGTTAACTACCCAGCCGGGCCATTTATGCGTGAGTCAGGAACCGTCCAGAACCATGCAGTGGGATTGGTTGAATCATTGCAGAAAGACGGGGTTCCCCCGGACTGCGGCATTAATCTGTACACATGGACCTACTGTACACATATCAGTGGTTGCATATCGGCTCGACTTCAGCGCGGGGGGCGGACGCCCGTTTGGGTTAGCATGTTGACCTAGCCCTTTGCAGACTGGCTCGTGCAACTCCGCCCAGAAGGCTGAATTAGCTGAGAGCAGGCGATCTGCGCGATGCAAGGGACCAGGGATGAGCTAGGAGGCTTCGTGTGACCTTGCAGAACGAATGTCGAAGGAGAAGAATCGGGGCAGAACGTAATCTCCACAATTCGTACGTATGTATGGAAGTCTCTGTTCGAGTTCCCAAACGGTGGCTTTCGGTCATAATTTGTGCTAGTCGCGAGCAGCGTCTCAACTCGAGATCAGAGCACTGGCTTGGTCGTATGGGCTGCGTCTCGGCGCTCAGCGTGGTTGTGCATGTTGGGGGGGCAGGAGACGCAGATCGAGGCTCGACGCAGCGCACTCGGACTCGTCCTCAGGCATCCATTCGTGAAAGCGTTTCTAGCGTGATCCCTGGTTGTACTGTAGTGCTGTTGGGTCTCTGACGCGATTCTTGGTGTGGCTCGAAAGGTGGCCGCGCATTAGACGGGAGCACCTTTAGAGCAAAGTCGCAAGGAAGTTCATTCCCCATGGGGTAACCCTCTAATTCGACCTTTGCGAGAGGTGCAGTCTCTAACGGTCAGCCGGCTTGGACAGAATACTACTTAGTCCCCCGTCGTCCCATATGACTGACTCCGGTTGATTCAAAACTTTCTGATCGCACTTGAATGCTCGGTCCCAGACGGCACGTGCTCAATCCACTACCCCAGCAGCACACTCTCGTGGCTCTCTCTCACCTCTCAACATGACCAACGACCCGACGGACCTGAAGAGCTTACTGGCTAGCCTCCCTTCCTGTGCAGTAGGTGCACAACATCCTTCGTTGGGATTGGACTGATTATCGCCTAGGCCGTCTGCGTCAACACACTCATTGCCCAGTCGACCTGCGCTGTTAACGATCTCGCCTGCGTCTGCCACGATTCCAAGCTCGAGAAACAAATCGAGCTATGCGGCCAGGGGAACTGCACGATTGAGGATGCTTGGAGTGAGCCCCAGATTTTGGCCATTGAAAGCCTGCATTCATCGCGGAACTTGACCTGACATGCGTGGGCCAGATGCCACGAGGCTGATCAAGGTCGGCTGTGGCCACACTCGAGCCTCAGACACCACGACCTTCGTGGCCGTGACAGCTGTCTTTTTAGCGCTGGCCATCCTGTTCTCCCTTCTTCGACTCTACATTCGACCCCCATTCAGCCCGCTGTTTCATATCGATGATGCTGTCATGGCTTTTACAATCGTGAGCACCGTGCCAACAGTGGTCTTGTGCATACTCGGATTGCGTGCTGACAAACCTCCTCAGCTCCCTGTCATCACTTTTACGAGTATCAACCTTGCTGGTGAGTACCTGTTCGCCCCCCCACCTAAAGGCCAGAATGCTAACAGGGTGTCTTGCAGCGGCCGACTATGGGCTCGGGCAGGACATTTGGCTTGTTCCGCCAGCCAAGGTCGAAATGATTCTCAAGGTATCCGCCCCTTCTTTTCCGTCCGCCCAGACGGCATCCCTGATGTTATGCACTAGTTTTTCTACGTCAACCAATTCTTCTATACCCTCATTGGTGCCACCACGAGAGCAGCCATCTTGCTCTTCTATTTGAAGGTGTTCCCTCAACCACGATTCCACAAAGTGACCTATGCAGTGATGGCCCTCTGCTTTGTGAACGCGGCCTCTTGGATTATCATTGCTCTGATTGAGTGTAAGCCTATTTCGTATCTTTGGCGCATGGTCAGGGCGCCAGGCACTGGAATGTGCAGAATCAATTTCCAGACTGCCAACACGGCATTTGCGGCAACCAATATCGTTCTCGACGTCATCATCCTGGCGCTGCCGTTTCCGATGGTGCTCAAACTTCAGATTTCGCGAATCAAGAAGCTGCAGGTGCTGAGCATGTTCGGGGTGGGGTTCTTGTGAGCATTCTTCCCCTTGCCACTACACCTAGAGGACACTGACCTGTCCGACCTGACAGTATCACCATCGTGACCGTCCTTCGACTCTGCTTTCTTCGGACGCTATCGTTTGAAGAAAATATTACCCGTGAGTATCGATCTCCGGACCTGTGGTCATCTCTGCACAGAGTTATCCCACTACAGTCGCCATTGCCCTATTAGAATCCCCCATTCTCAGACACTATCCACTTAAACAATGCCTATCTACTGACCTTTATGTTTTGGGGCAGGAGATTACACGTTGATCGGGATCTGGAGTTCCATCGAGATAGACGTGAGCGTAGTCTGTGCATGCATGCCAGCAACTCGGCTATTCCTCAAGAAGACGTGGGCGTCAAAGTTCGGAACCTCGGACAACCCAGCAACCGGATCTTTCCAGCAGCACGACACGTCACGCTTTAGATCTAGACACTCACGAGGCCCCCGACGCCTGCCCGACGCACACATTGTAAAGTCTGTTGACATTGACATCTCTCACGCCAGACGGGAAGTGGACGAGATGGAACTGATTGAGTTCACGGGCTGGAGCAACTCATCTGGAGGAGCCACCTCCTACAGGTCGTGACGGAAGGGCGCGAAGGCAAGCACATGAAGAGACACCAGATCCTGAAAAATCGGACACCAGGACCCTATGGCGAAACACAAGTCTACAATAGAAGGTCGAGAGTGCTCAAATGGACATGTAAACTATCCCTTATGATTTCTTTTCGAGTCAATCTACCAGGAACGTTCAATTCCCTCCAGAGTTTCCATTCCAGGGTTATAGGTACGAGCTGGTGTGCAAGACGGGTCACGAACCTCTGCGGCAGTCGCTGTTTAGCACGTCCGAACGCCATGGTAAGCCATCCTGTCCGATCGTCTCGTTCCAGGGTGGCAGACATGCCCTGCCGAGATGTAAAGTGGCCAGGTCGAGAGCCATTATTCCTTCATAGCGATTCAGACCACCACGGCGGGCACAGCGGTGTATGGAGTGCCCAGGCTGTATATCGTGGCTTCGGAAAAGCCATAGGAGCCTTCCAATTCGCAGACCAAGAGAAGGCACCTTGCACAGAACAACGGACGGTTTCACTTAGTTGAACCGGCGCACGAGCCCAACAGTCTTCTCAGCCAAGGACAAAACCCCGGGGTCAGGTCTGTGATTCCATCCTGCAGATGCCCGAAGAACGAAGTTGACTCGTGCATGGCTTTTTCATCTCCATGACGGAGCGGGCGCCTTGGCCAAGATTAGCCCACGGGGTACCCTGCGGGGTGAGTGAGGTTCATCCTGACCGCATTATTCAGATGCGAGGTTGAGACCGCATGTATGGTCCATGCAGCAGTGTAATTCTAACATGTTCTAGAGGTGAATGGGAAGCCCAGAAATGGGCACAGGAGATGTCTTTCCGGTCAGATCGCGTGAGCCGGAAACACAGGTCATGATAGAGCCGGATTGGGCCCTCTTTCACTCTATAATCGCTGCTAGGAGGAATTGACCAAAGCTTTCTATGATGCGTTCGATGTCTGTCGGGGTTTTTGGGATGCCTCGAGGACCCTTGTTTCTCTACTTCAGAGATGGAAAAAAAATTTCAGTCATCTATTGAGGCATTAACGCAGCGTGCCTTTGATGGCTCTACGCGCTCTCCCGTAAGAGAGCCCTAGAATCACGCGAAGAAGGTGAATAGAAAGGAGGTTGGAAGGAGAGAGTTGGGAGAAGAGCATGGTTCTAAATAAACGAGAAAAGCGGCGGCATGCCTAGTGTACGACTATTCCCGACACGGCAGGACCGCTTCAATCGAAGGCGGATTTCTTTCGACGAGCGGATTAATTACACCAACGCTTTTACTGCCAAGGGATTTTGTTGGGGGTGTCGTCCTCAGCGCTCAGAGTGTATATTATATCTTGTTGAGCACCTCGCCTCTTGGGTTATTGAAGTTTGCTACTTCGTCCCCTATTGACTCATGACGGCGAAGATGCTGATTGCGTGATTGGCGTGTCGGTTGTCAAAAACAGGATTTAGAGACCCCCAGAGCCTCACACCTCCAAATCGGAAGCAACACGGGCGAGCCCCAGCAGTCGCGATTCTCATTGTTCTATCCCCTCTTGCGTGAAAGCTACAATGGGTTCCACGAGCTGACAAATCGCCAGGACTCACATCTGTCAAGGATATAACGCTTGCGCAATAAACGTCTTGACGCAGTTGTCAGGGCAAGCGTAGAGAAGGCTGGAGGCAGCTACAGCCACTCTCAAGGCAACCTGTGTTTTGGTCGCAGAGATCTCTCCCATGTCTTGTCCATCGAGTCGAGGTTGTCGTTTCTCGGCCCCGATTTAACAAATTTCGCAATCATTTTCTTCCTCGGACGCACACTCAGAGTCTTTCATGTTTATGACTATCGTCGTTGTGGCTAGGAATGTCACAGCCACGTATGAAACAGGCGAAGTGGCTTTCAGGCATGATTTTGGTTCTTCCTTGGACTTGTTCAGGAGGGCTGGCAACCGATACATCTCGTCGGTGGAGGTAAGGAAATCTCTACTGTGGAATTTGTCAGATCAAAGTCCGCGAGAGTGAAGACATCAACAAGATCAAGAACTCTCTAGGAGTGGGCGCCATGTTCACCCTTGGGCTTGATATTGGCCTCGATGTTTAGCTACAGAATTTGAGCAGAGAGCTCGGCTTTTCTCTGGACTTCTCCCACCATCTGTTCGGATGTTACGGGGTTGCTTGTCCCAAAAAACGACAAAATATTCGATTTCGCACTCAGATTCAGCCAATACTCGGCCAAGGGCGGCACAGTGTTGAGCTGGAAAACGAGGTCCTACTCCCGTATTGCAAGATGCCCGGAAGGTTTACAACAAATTAACTCTTACCAATTACCACAAATTGTGGACGACAAGATCCGGGTCGGACACGACGTGCGTGGCGCTGTCATTGACCAGCTGCGGGTTCGGTATCGATTCGCCAATGGAGGTGACCAGGAACTTCACGAGCCCCATGGCAAAAATGGAGGTAGACAATGGGGACAATCCATTGATTGGCAGGACAAAATTGACAGATTTGATGTTTGGACGAGGACAAATCCAAACGGCAGGTTCAACAATCAAATCGTCTCCTTCATCAAGATCGTCACGAAGTCCAACAGAGAGATTGCATTTGGTGGCGAGCAGCAAACTTGGGCAGGAAGTGAAACAGTCGAAGGGAATCGCATCCTGATCGGTTTCCGAGGACGCGCTGGCTTCTATCTCGACCAGGTACAGGCCGTGTATGCTGTGTTTGATCGGCCTACCTATCCGTCGCCCTAACCACGGCCCAAGAAAGGAAAAGAGAGGGGCCCTGGGCTCCAGTCACTATTTTTCGAGTACGGCGAGTAGATATATAGAAAGCTATCTTACGACATTATAGTAGCTAAGATTAATCATTAGTAATTAATATTAATCGCGTTATTAAGGAGAGCTCAAGAAGAATCAACAGACTCGAATTGGCTTCTACGAATGAAATTAAGATAGCCCTCCCGCTGGCTCTCTCAGGGCTCTGGCGTGCTCCCATGGCGCTCTTCCGTACTCTGCCGCGGCTCCCTCAACGCTCCGTCACGTGCGCGATTAAAGCGGCCTGGCTCTGTTTCCTGAACAAAAATGGTACTGGACGAAGTGCTGTTCGGGGCATATATAATATATATATATATACACAAAACACTCGGGACTTTGTATCATATTGACAAGTCGAACGAACGTCCAAGTGCAAGTTCCAAGTGCAAATGCAAGTGCTATGGCTTACAGCTTGGACGTTCTGTTATTGCCGCTACTCGATCTTGACACATTGTCCTGCTTAGGCACCGGTGCTGCTGCTGTTGTCGTCGTCGTCGTCTTCGTCGTCGCCTGGGGGGTATCACTCTTCTTGGGCGCGCTGCGATACCCGCCCTGGAGATTATCCTCGTTGATTACGGCGCCGGAAACCGGGTCGCGCTTGATGCCCAGCTCGAGCAGACGGGCAAAAACGGCGGCGAAGTCTGCGAAGAAGAGGTCCTTGTCGTCGGCGTAGCGGTCGACCCAGACGCGGAAGCTCGGGTCGTGCAGCAGGGCCATGTCCGAGGGCAACATCATCAGCTCGTCGGCTTTTTCCCCCGTCTCGGCCTCCCCGTCCTCGTCCTCGTCCTCGTCGACGTAGACGTACTGCATCACACCGTTAGGCAGGGTCTTTTGCTTCCAGTCGTGCATGCGCAGCAGCTTGAAGTACATGTTACTGAAGCGGGTGGGGTTGTTGACCCATTTGCCGTCGAAGCCGGAGCGGTCGGCGTGGCAGCGACCCAGGTTGTGCGCGCCGCTGAGGCAGACGATCTCGCGGTCACAAAAGCCCATGCGGTAGAAGATGTGGCGGAGGTGGTCGGCGCCCTTGGCCCCGTCGGGCAGGCGCCCGCGCGGCGGCACGCGCGAGTCGTCGGCGAAGTCGGTGCGGCCGCCCATCCAGGCGATGTCGGGCCCGCCCATGGCGCGGATCGCCACCACGGCCGCCAGCGTCCACAGGTCCGCGTACGTAATCCAGGGGAACCGCCGCTTCACGGGCTCGAGAAAGGCCCGCGCGTGCTGCAAGCCCGCGTTGGCCGGGTCGCCGCCCTCCTTCTCGTATCGCATCCCTGCCCCGTTGGAGCCGCCCGTGTTGCTCTGCGCGTCGTACGTCCCAGCGCTGTGCCACGCGAGTCGCACCAGGACGGGGCCCGCGCTGCCGTCGTCATAGCCCGGCTGGTCGAGGAGGGAGATGATCGCTTGCTTGACCTGGTCAAGTTGGCCGTCGGTCGGAGAGGGCGGATGAGGTTCCTGATTCGTGTCAGGTATCTGGGACGACGGCGCAGGTGATATCGACATCTTGGGTCCAAATCTCGCGAGAGAAACCAGAACAGGATCGATCAAGTGGCTTAGTGTCAGCTTTTCCGACACAAACCAAAAGAGACGATGACGAAAATCAGAGGTATAGAAGTAAGTCTTAAGTAAGAAAGATACTTCGCCTCGACGCGGACCAGGATACAGAAACCAGGGAGTGAAATACAAACACAACGATGAAAGAAACAAGAAAAAGAGCGCACGGGGTGGCGAGGAATGAAACAGGAATATTAAGAAACACGCAAAAGGGAGCCACTGCAAAGGCACCGCCGTTAATCAGCCTCGGTATCACACAAGATCTGTTATGCTTTGCATGATTATATCTGACAAGACGAAACCCTAGGAAGCCAGTGGGTCTGATCAATGGGCGCTTCGACCGGAGCACATGCCAGAGAGCGCAAGAAAAAAAGGAGAGAATCGAGATAGGTTGCGACTGGAAGGGGGGAGGCTGAGAGGCCGATAAGAAAAAGTGGGCGAGGCTGCAAGTCGCGTGAGAATTTGATATGCCAGTAGTCAAAGCCAGTCCCCGTAGTAAAATCCATCTCCGACCTTCGGAGTCGGCAAAATCTCGCATCGCCGATCCATAATAATCATCCTGGAACTCCGAAGAAAAACGTGCCTATGATGTGCGTGTGTGTCATGCGATGCCAAGAATTTGGCACCCGTTTGGTAACCGAGGTTCCTGTCGATCCAAATACTGCCCTGCCAGCCTGCTTG